TGCATCACAGAGTTGGCTCTTACTCAATTTACAATCCACTGTACCCCTCCCCCTGCCTGCTGCCGCCTGATATCCTTGTCAGCGGTGCTACCACCCAGTCGCTTAACGCCCTCTTTGTAGTTGTGCAATTGATTTTTTTTTTCCCCCTTCCAAAGTGAAGCACTTTGCACTTCGCTCTGTTCTGTTTCATCTGGTTGACTTCTGGCCAGTTTAAGGTCCTTTTGAATTATAGCCCGGTTCGTCAAAATGCCAGCAACTCTCCCAGTGTGGTGTCCTCAGCAGCTTTCATGAGCTGGCTTAAAAGCCAGTTCCTCCCAGCACTGCCTCCGCGGTGTTGCCTGCCCCCTCTCTGTCCACGGGGAGCTGGAACCCCCCACAGGCAGAGGCTGCTCCGTGGGAGGAACAGCAGCCTCTGTCTGTGGGAAGATGGGATCCCCCATGGACAGGGGCTGCTGCCACTTCGCGCTGCTGCTTCTGTATCAGAGCACAGGGCAAACAGGCAGCTGGTCTGCAGAGGGAGCTGTTTTTTTAAACTGGCTTTTCTCGCGGACCAGCTCCGCTTACCACCCTGCGCTGCTGCCTCTGATGCAGAGGCAGCAGAGTGGGGTCAGGAGTGCACTGGCTGCTGGCCCCACCCCCAGGGATTATAGAACAGTCGTGTAACTGCAGAGATTTCACGCAGATACTCAACTATTCCATTAACTGATAGCCATTATCCCTAGTGCTGACTCGGGAATGACCCCACTAAATCTGCCTCCTCGCTTTGATTCACGAACCATTGAGAACTGTGATAGAAATGTAGCCGTGTTAGTTGGGTGTAACTGAAACACAAAACAGGACTATGTAGCACTTTAAAGACTAACAAGATGGCTTATTAGGTGTATATGGTCATGCCAATTTTCTTCCACTATTTGATCTGAGGAAGTGGGTCTGGCCCACGAAAGCTCATCACCTAATAAACCATCTTGTTAGTTTATAAAGTGCTACATAGTCCTGTTTTCTGTTTAATTGAGAACTGCTCTGTGAGTGGGGTATGTCAACCACTTGTGCACACACGTGCCTCTAGATCCCATTTCCCTAGTGTGCAGCTGAGAATGCAGTGTCAAAAGTTGTACTGAAATCAAGCTGTATCCTGTCTGCTGCTTCCTGGGCCTGTCGTCCTGGCAGCAATGAGAATTCAGTTTGTTTGGTATGACTTGTTCTTGCTGTAGCTCGTCACTCCTTTGCCTTGCAGGTGCTTGCAAATTGATCAATAACTTGTTCTAGTATCTTCCCAGGTATTGAATTCAGGCTGGCTGGTCTGTAATTCCTCGGGTCCGCTTTGTTCCCCCTTTTCAAGGCAGGTCCTTTGTTTACCCTCTCTGGTGCTCCTGGACCTCAGCTTCCTCCATGAGTTCTGGCAGATGGATTGCTAACAGTTCTGAAATCACTCCAGCGTGTTCCTTAAGTACTTTAGGTGCATTTCATTAAGCCCTGCCAACCTGAATCCATCTAACTTTAGTCTGTAACCTGTTCTGTCCCTGCTTGTGACTGCCAGGGATGTTAAATATTGGTTAATTGAATAGCATTTAACCTCATTAATTCTTATCGATTAGTTGACTAGTCTGCAGTCCCCAGGGGTGGGGCCAGCAGCAGCTCAGGGTGGCAGCAGCCCC